TGTAGAAGGTGAGTAAGCATTTTAACGCAACTAAAAATTCATAGATAAACTAAAGAATAGAAGGAATTAATAATTGAACGATAAACCTAACCTAGCCTAACATTGTAATGTCAAAACGTGTAGAGTCGTCAACTTTTTGAAGGTCATAGATAGGCCTAAATAAAATGTTTTTAATTGTGTACCAGTTTAAAGTTGAATATTATTTATGATTTTAACAAACTGTAACAGTTACAATTTGTGCTTTATGGGAATGCTTCTTAAGGAGTTTTAATGTGAAACATTGAGTATCCAATTAAAGAAAAATAATAAATTTGGTTTGATAAGCTGTTTATTACTTGCATCAAAATGTATTTTATACACGAATATGCACTACAGAATAAGAATATGTAGTTTCTGAAACGTAGTGATAATTAGTTAAATTACACACACATATATATACTACAAGAAAGTTATTCTTAGTTTAAAATGAACATTAGTTCGTAAAAAACTGTCCTAGTTTGAAGTGGTATATGATGAAATATTTTCTATCAAGTGTTTTTATTTCAGTCGGCGACGCTTTCACACATTGTTTAACTTCTGATGAAAACATGTTGTTAACACAGATCAGAAATAAAACTTAAACTAGTAATTAGTATAACTAACTTAATAAACTGTTCTGACTTGGAGTATGTTTAATCACAAAACAAAAACATATGATGACTAAAAAGCATTGATTCATTAATTTGCAACATTACTGGTTTTAATCCCATTAGTTCCCAATGTGGTTGAACCAGCCTAAGAGCTTTAGGTTATTCTTAAACCAATATAATAAGCTAACAATGCAGAATAATCCTCACAGTAACAAAATATATATATTAAACATTTTAAACAATACTATTAATGAAGTATTACGGAAAGAATAGCACACACGAGACACATAAAAGCTCTTTGTTTGTTTCATGCACTATCATCAATTCCTACTAACCTTTCGTACATTCCACACGTGGGTCTCCAGTGTAATCAGGAATGCAAGTGCAATAAGGTCTGTGGTTAACAGGTTTACACTGGGCATTTGTACCACATGATGTGGGACTGTCACAAGGATCTGAAGAGAAACAAACAAGTAATAAAAAAGTCAACTACAACAAAATTGTGGATAATCCCCGATAAAAAAACTGTAGATTAATGTGTTTGTTAAATTAAGTGATACGTAATTATAGAAGATCTTCTTGTTCACAAACAACTAACATATTAACGTTGACAGAAAGAAATAATCATGACTTACTGATACACTGACGGTGTATACAAGCATCTGTCAAAGGACATTCTATGTCTGACCGACATCCAGCTGTAAAGAGGTAAAAAAAAAAAGATATAATAAGAACAAGTGGAACTAATTTTAGTGAAAATTCAGACTTAATCGAGCTACAACGATGCAAAAAATAAATAGATGTAATAAAATAACAAAAACAAAATGGAAACAAGTTAGTTTTAGTAAAAATTAAGACCACATTCAGGTGTAATGAGTAAAAAAACGGAGAATACATAAAAACAAAAGTAAAAAAATAGAGCTTTGAAAATATATATGAAGAACCAATAAATAAATCATGCCTAGAATCATAACAGGTCAAAACTAGCAAATTTATAAAACTATATTATTTTATTAGTTTTTTTCGTTTCTAAAGTTTATTAGCACTGTTAATAATATTGGTATCCCAGTTTGTAGTATTCTAACAGAGTAGTTGTTTTCGTTTCTAAAGTTTATTAGCACTGTTAATAATATTGGTATCCCAGTTTGTAGTATTCTAACAGAGTAGTTCTTTTCGTTTCTAAAGTTTATTAGCACTGTAAATAATATTGGTATCCCAGTTTGTAGTATTCTAACAGAGTAGTTGTTTTCGTTTCTAACAGTAATCAATAAAACTATGAACTCAAAACTTGTATTTAAAGTACGTGTATTGTTTTATTCTTCCAATCTAATAATAAATAAAGAGGAAATATTAATATCTTATTGAATTATGTATACTTTATTGTAGCTAACTTGTAGCATTTCTTTTGGTTTTATGTGTTGAAGATCTAACAGTGAAAGCTGTTAGTTCTGTTTCAGTCTAAGAGAAAGATTGTTTTTATAGCAAAGCCACATTGGGCTATCTTCTGTTTCCACTGAGGGGAATCAAACCCGTGATTTTAGTGTTGTAAATCAGTAGACTTACTGCTGTCACATCAGGAGACCCAAGAGAAGGAACTGAGAAAATACTTCCAATTTGGACAATAACTATTCAAACTTAGTTAGCTTATAGAACTATAAATATCTTGTCTCTGTTAGAATGCTACAAACTGGGATACCAATATTATTAACAGTGCTAATAAACTTTAGAAACGAAAAAAACTACTCTGTTAGAATACTACAAACTGGGATACCAATATTATTAACAGTGCTAATAAACTTTCTTCTTAACATCCTTCGTTTTTTAGACATTATAAAAAAGCACTCACGTATACATCGTCCAGAATCACAAATGTATCCGTTAGGACAGCTGTTGTCATTTGTGCAAATCACTACAAAATAAAAATCAGGAACACTTCTGATGAAATATTCAACTTAGAGGGAACACAAGCTTATAAAACCAAACCTAAAAGGTTAACTTTCATTCTATATTTCATCTGTTCAAAGTTTATCTGCTCTTATTAATTAATGCTTTATGTTTTGGTAATTTATAATAATAATTCCATAACGAAAACTTGAAAGACAGATTATTTTTAAATAATTGATATTACCAACTTTATTAAGTGTAAAGAAAATGATTTAATGGTATACATACCTCTACAACGCCTATCTATGCACTTTTCATTGTCAAAACATTCATTGTCGCTACTGCAACTAACTGTGAAAAAATAAATATTTAATTTGATTTGGTTTTAATTTAATCATTAATGCCATTCACATATATAAAAGCACAACCTATTATTTCTTTCAAAAAACAAAGTATTTTGAAATATTACATAAATTTCATTAAATTAAATTAATCAGATACTTTGCTGTAAATATTATTCTTGGACACTTGTTTAAAATCATAAAGTTATAATTTTCCTATACAGAAAATGTATTTCCAGTAGGTACTTGCATGAGAAATGCATTGGAATCAGTTAATTCTAATGGAGAGGAGATAAAAGGCTTGTGGCATGTGTAAAAAAATTTTTGCATATAGAGGGCAGCACTGAACGAGAATAGCTTTTTATGTGAGCGGTGGTAATGTACCATATTACAGTTAAAAACAACAACTTATTTTAGTTTATTGTGTAAACAAAAGGAAGTCGTTATTTTAGACTGCAGTATTTACATCTGTAGTTTAATTTTTCTTAGAGTATATTATTATAAAAGTGATTACCACACCTGTACATATTGAAACTTCACAGTGTCTTCCTAGGCCACATTCATCATCAACGTTGCAAGTTCGTGTCACTAAAAAAAACAAAAAAAACTTCAAGTTTCAAGAAAGATGCATGTCATCAGAAAAGAAATAAAGATAGCACGAAGTAATTATACTACACATTTAAGAACTCTTTTTTAACAAAAGAATTATAAAAACTTAATTTATTTATATAATTAATATTTATTAAAACATAAACACTTTGAGACATGTAATGTTGTTTTTTCATGGAAGAGTGTCAAAAAACAACAACAAAAATATGATATGTTATTGTCCAAAAGCATAGTAGCAAAAAATATTTGTTTTTTCTTTTAAACATAGATAAGCGAACCAGCTAATCACTTGCTTAATTATTTTGTCTCTTCTTATTTAAGTTTGGTTATCTGAATTTGTGTGTATATTTTACATTCTTCTTAATTATTTCAACTGTTTTATGGTACCTTTGTCTACCTTAATTTGGAAGTATGATCTTCATGTACGAGCACAAAATAACCACGCTTTGTTGCAGAATTCCAAGTCCACCCATTATGATTCAAAGAGGCCCAATGTTACAATGATGCTCCTCCATAGTCCCCAGTTACTTCTATAGCTACCCAAAAACACCTGTTAGGAAATCCAATCACAGTGCAAGACCACATGTGCTAGCTCGTGAATGGGGGTATGAACAGATTTCCAAAAATGGTGCTCTCCATGGTCTCAAAGGAGGCCCATGAACACAAAATGCAATGATAGATTTGGGTTCAGTGGCCCTTACAACCTACTACTAGACCCCAATAATGCCTGGGTGACCTTCTGGGTGTAGTTTAGCCCCTTCTGACATTCCTTTGGTGGTGGTGGTGGTGGTGGTGGGGAGGAGTTATACCGTATAGATAAGGTTACCACCTGAGACACCCCAAGTCCACCTGCCAAGAATGGTCCTGCTAGCTCCAAAACTGTGAGAGGAGTTAGCAGACAAATAAATTTACAAATAATTATTTCAACTGTTTTAATGTAAGATTAGTGTATCCTGGTGGGGATATACTAAAGTATTCATAGATTGTTTTAGTTATGGAGAACAACATTTAACTCAGAGGTTGGGTTATACTCTAAAACATAAATATATCTTAATAACTTCTGGAAATCTATAACAATCCTGAAATACTGATTACCTCTTATGCACTCTATAAAAGGATCACCAGAAAGTTCTGGTGGACAGATACAGTCAATCTGGTGGTTTTTGACCTCACAGTAGGCATTTGTTCCACATGCTGTTTGACTTCCACATGGATCTAGTAGAAAAACGTTTTATACACTCTTATAGCAATAAACTGATTGAAGACAAATTAATATACTTCAGACACATCATTAATTAACTCTAGCACTTGTTTGAATTTAACTTTAGCACTTGTTTGAATCTATTCCATAATTATGTTCAGCTTGAAGAGCTGTAGCATTGTTTTTATATTTTGTGCTACTTTAAGTACTTACTAGCAACCAATAATAAGAACACAAACATTCTAATTTACATGTTTAAACGCCATCTACTCTAAAAGCTACTTCACTCAGAACCAGATAATTTCATTTGATCTATTCTATACTCACTAAGACACTGATTATTGATGCATGCTTCATTGAATGGACAATCCGTGTCAGCTCGACAACCAACTGAAAGAGATGTAATTCGTTAGTATCAGTTTCTCAACAATACTCTAATCCAACTGATAATGTTTTACTTTACTTCCTAAACGTCTGTAGAGATACAAAGTGTCCTATAAAAATTGGTTTAGTTAAAGGGTCAAACACTAACTTATTATCCTCAATTATAGTTAACCCACAGACTTAAAACATATATACAAATGAACATCTACAATGAAGATATATCCTGATATAATGCTGAGAATAGACTCACGCACATAGAACAATCATTAAGTGCAATAACAAACATATTTTCACTTTTCTTTTAACATCTAAACTAAAAAGAAGGTTTATTTTGAAATATATAAACAGTTAACTTACCTATACATTTGTTATGTTCACAGAATTCTCCAGAAGGACAGTCTCTATCTCGTACACATTGGACGACACACTTTCCTAGGACACATCTTTCATTCACCGCACAATCTCTGTCACTACTACAGGCAACTAAATGGAAAAAAATATAATAATATATATATATTTCTTTGCACATACTCTCAGAGAGGACAAACAAATCACACTATTTAAGTTTAAAGATAAAAGGCCTGAACTCTAAGAATCAAGAAATGATTTTTGCAATTGCAATTTTTCTTAAAGCAAAATTCTCTGCTAAATTCAGTGATGTTCTCAGAATAATGATTAAATACATGTTGAATGATATTTTCTACTACAGATTTTAAATGTTTTTCTGCTAAGGACCAATGATTTCTCTGCTACTAAGCACAAAGCTACATAATAGTCAGTCTGTGCTGTAGGAGTCATGCATATAAAACTCTTAATTTTTAGCATTATAAGTCCTCAAGCTTACTACTGTGCTACTAGCGGGGGAAGACGAGGACAAAGCAGCTATAGTTAAATGGGCTTTTCTCACAAGGCATTATAAGGAAGCCTGCAGTAATCCAAAATGATAACTTTTATGAGTATGAGGATAATAGCAATTTTTTTCAAGGTGGCCATCTTCTTTAGACTTTAGGTATTTAATATTTCTGTAAAAATTCAGTACATATACACTCAAAAGCAGATAGTATCTTTGGCTTTTTCTTTTCTCAACTGGTAAATAATCAGTTTTAATAACACCTATTCAATGCAGTATAATAATCGTTATTTAATTTAGAGAAAGTGTTTGTTTGTTTGTAATTAAGCACAAAGCTACACAATGGGCTATCTGTGCTCTGCCCACCACGGGTATCAAAACCCAGTTTCTAGCGTTGTAAGTCTGCAGACATACCGCTGTGCCACTGGGGGGGCTAGAGAAAGATAGTGTTGTAAAGGAATTTTCAGGATCTAAACACCAAGTATTAACCATTTCTATGACACAATACAGTCTCTTCATAATTTTGAAATACCCAATATCATACACTTTACATGATCCACTAAAACAGCAGTGTCAAACTATTATGTAGTTTACATGATCCACTAAAACAGCAGTGTCAAACTATTATGTACATTACATGATCCACTAAAACAGCAGTCAAACTATTATGTACTTTACATGATCCACTAAAACAGCAGTGTCAAACTATTATGTACATTACATAATCCACTAAAACAGCAGTACCAAACTATTATGTACTTTACATGATCCACTGAAACAGCAGTACCAAACTATTATGTACATTACATGATCCACTAAAACACAGTACCAAACTATTATGTAGTTTACAT